GATTCAATCAATAAAAATTATAGGAATTAATTCCATATGGAATTCTACACTTTCCATTAAAAACCCGAAATTGCACTCAAAATTTGCCCGTGGGGCCCACATCTCGGAATCTGGCGAAACTTATAAAATCCGACAACCCNGAGGAAGCCCAAATGTAACAATTAAATCCAAGTAAGGTGATTCTCAATTTAGTTCAAGTAGAAAACACGGTAAAAACATCTCTCGGGACGGACCAAGTCACAATCCCCAACGATGCTCTACCCCACGCCCGTTATCCGGCGTGCAAGTCACCTCAATATAGCGTTACGATGTGAAATTCTGGGGTTTCAAACCCTCATGACATCATTTACATCAATTACTCACCTCGAACCGGCTACTTCTTTAGCTCGCGACGCTTTTGCCCCTCGAATTGGCCTCCACGTGCGTCGAATCTATCCACAATAATTCGATTCAATCAATAAAAATTATAGGAATTAATTCCATATGGAATTCTACACTTTCCATTAAAAACCCGAAATTGCACTCAAAATTTGCCCGTGGGGCCCACATCTCGGAATCTGGCGAAACTTATAAAATCCGACAACCCATTCCGATACGAGTTCAACCATACCAAAATTATCAAATTCCGACAACAACTCGACCTCCAAATCTTAATTTTTCATTTTTGGAAGATTTTGCAAAAAACTTGATTTTTCCATTTAAATCCGAATTAAACGATGAAAATAACCATGGATTTATGTAATATAAACACTTTCGAGTATAAGACACTTACTTGAGTTGAAATCGTGAAGAACACCTCAAAATCGCCCAAGAACCGAGCTCCAAAAATCCCAAAACGAAAATGAAGAAATCAGCATTTTTGGTCCTTAAGTTTCTGTCCGCTCGTCACTAAAAGTCCAGTTTCGTCACTAAAAGTCCACCAGAGACAGCTTTACCAGCCATATTCAATCGATCATAACTTTCTGTACAAATGTCCGAATGACAAATGGTTTATATTTCTGGAAACTGGAATATAAGGGCTACAACTTTCATGTTTTATACATTTTTCGATTTCATATATATTACGAGATATAAGCTTCCAAATTATGCTCCTCGCATCAAAATTTTCGAACCTTGCTGTCAAAAATCCAGCAAGTTAAATTGGCCTAAAAATGGCCCGAAACCATTCCGAAACTCACCCGAGCCCCTCGGGACTCTAACCAAATATGCCAACATGTCTTAAAACATCATCCAAACTTGCTCCAATCATCAAAACACCTCAACTAACACTAAAATCATCGAATTACATCGAATTCAAGCCTAAGTTCTTTTAAAACTTCCAAAACACGCATTCGATCAAAAACCCAACTAAACCACGTCCGAATGACCTAAAATTTTGCACACACATCACAAATGACATAACGAAGCTACAATAACTATCGGAATTCAATTCCGACCCTCAGATCAAAATCTCACCTATCAACCGAAATTCGCCAAAATACTAACTTCGCCAATTCAAGCCTAATTCTACACCGGACCTCCAAAATTACTTCTGATCACACTCCTAAGTCACAAATCATCCCCTGAAGCTAATCGAATCATCGTGATTCAAATTCGATCCCTCTAACACATAAGTCAACATCCGGTTGACTTTTTTAAAACAAACCTTCTTTAAAGAGACTAAGTGTCTCATTTCCTACTAAAACCAATCCAAATCAACTCGTTCACACCCAACACTGATAATGAAGCATAAAGAAATAGGAAATGGGGAAAACTGGGCGGTAACTCACGAGACGACGGGTCGGGTCGTCACACCTTTTTAGTTAAATCAATTTAATGAATGGATAAGGGGTGAATCCAAGTTAAAAGTAATAAATCCTAGATCCGAAATCTAACAACTTAGATAATATGAACCGTGTTCTGATCAACAAATGTCGAGTTAATGGCCAATGAATAGATATAAATATGAGAATGAATGCATGCAATAAATGTGATAAATGGTATTTAATGTAATAAGAAGCAATAAGTCACTCAAATATTAGATGAGGTTGATGATTCCTTCTTCAGAGGCAACGTGTGACATCATGAAATAATAGTGAACAATGTGCCCTCGGATCTTGTGAACTAAATAAGAATGTTATATAATGGAATCAAACAAAAGAGAGAAGACAAGCTTTTTGTCTATTCTTGATAGTCAACTCTTTTACAAGATGTTCTTTTATAGAAGTTTCAAATCCCTTTTTGTTTCCTTTCTCTTCCTATTTATAAGGGATATCCTTAGAAAACTCTAAAAAAGTACAAAATGAGGGAATAGAATATTCGTGCTCGCAACCCTAGGAGCATCCTAACTGCTGTGTTCGTTTTCTCTCTACTAGACCTCGGCACTGGTCTCTCCCTATGGGCGACTCCTCGACACTGAACCATATTCGATTTCGACCTCGGCCTCATCCCGTCCGTCTGCATTCGCTAAACTAGATCTAATTTTGACCCATACAGTAATAAACAATAATAAATGATATTTAAGTAAATAAAAGGAATGATTCACCCAAGAAAAGATGGAATAAATGGATGTTCCTTCTGACAATGAAGAATGATAGGCTATCCACTTGAATATTTTAGTTATTCTTGGATCTTGTGGAAAAGTATAGACAAAAATTTTAGTGAAAATGTGATGTTTGTATCTTAGCAAGTGAGATTTGATTCTCTTTCTCAAGTCAAGTGTGTATTTTTGCAAATGAATGTCACATGTCCCCCTATCATTGTCTCTTTTTCTATTTATATGGGACATGCTACTAGGAAATCCTAATAGTACAAGTGAAGAGAATATTCTCTTTAGTATTCTATCTTGAAAACTAGCCATTACGGTTCTGTCAACGGAGCTTGACCTCGGCCTCAACTCTTGTTGACACCTCGACTACGACCCCGTTGACTCTTCGACCACTGACTTCGTTGTTCCTTTGGCCATTTCGACAAACGACGATTTGGCAACTCCTCTTCTAATACTATTTTGGCCAAAATATTCTGAAGACATATTTTGACCTATACAGAAACACATCTAAATTTTTTTTATTTTCAATATTTGACCCACCATTGTGTTTTCAACTAATAAAGTCAAATCACTGATTGCTTTCTAGAAATGAGTTGACTTTCTTTGTCTTTCCTGGTTGAAAGTCCTTGTAGTTTTTTAATTTATGTCTCATAGTGAAAATGACTGGACCAAGCGTGTGGACCAACTTAGCCTAATAATAACTTATGTCATTATCTAAAACCCATTGTTTTAGTGCGAAAAATATGTAGTTTGGCCATGTCATAAATTAGTAGAAAATTAGAGCACCTCATATTACATGTTCACTTAAAGACTTTGCTAAGGAACTGTTTAATTTTCAGCTGAGAGTAATGGAAACTTCTGTTGGGCAGCAAATTTTTTCCGGGAAAAAGATGACAAAACAGTTAACAGGAAAAAGAGGAGACACTGAATTTCATTCAGTAGTGAGAGGTGGGAATCTTGAATTGGCTTTGGAGATAATCAATGGCTGTGTAGAAGGAGAATTGGTAGAATTATTGTCAAAGCAGAATCAGTCTGCTGAAACTGCTCTTTATGTTGCTGCTGAATATGGTCATTTGGATTTAGTGAAAGAGATGATTAAGTATTATGATATTGGAACAGCTAGTATCAAGGCAAGAAATGGTTATGATGCATTTCATGTTGCTGCTAAACAGGGTGATTTTGGTAATTTTTTATTTTAAGTGGTTTTTCATTATCTTGTTTATCTATGAACTTATAGAATTTCACATAACAAGCACAAATTGGCCTAACGGTCAATAGGTGAAAAGTGTGAGAAATTAGGTTCAAATCCAATAGAAATAAAAAATAAACTAGGCGTTTTCTTTCTATTTGCCTAAACTTTGGTGGCCAGAGTCAACCAATACCCAGGCGCGAAGCTACCCTTTGCTAAGCGTGGTCAATTGACCACCATTTTATCAAAAAATTACATTGCGTATATAAGTAAAATATCAGATTTTAGAGGTACATAACATTTATTGAACACGCTTTATCAGGAATTTTTTTTAACTTTTTTCAAGTTTGAGCCTTGGCGTAACTAGTAAAGTTGCTGCCATGTGATCAGGAGGTCACAGGTTCGAGCCGTGGAAATAGCCTCTTGCAGAAATGCAGTCTAATACTGCCTACGATAGACCCTTATGGTCCGGCCCTTCCCCGGACCCCATGCATAGCGGGAGCTTAGTGCACCGGGCTGCCCTTTTTTTCAAGTTTGAACCTCTCTTGGAAATATCTGGCTTCGCCACTGCCGATACCTATATTGATGGAGCTAGAAGGTAGCAGTGGAATAATCGAGGTGCATGCAAGTTGGCCGAACACCATCTTTAATTTTAAAGAAGTAATCTTTTAATGAATGAAAAAACAAATGATGGAAGTTCCCTCAATGTTAAGTCTTATAAATTTGATTTTCCTCTTATCCGTAGTAGTAATTACAACTAGTAATGAAGTTTTGATCATAGATACTAAAAGATTGGATTTTGTTGCAGAAACGGTGAAGGTACTATTTGAGGTTTTTCCACAGCTATCAGTTACATTTGATCAGTCAAATTCCACTGCACTTCACACTGCAGCATCACAAGGCCATATTAATGTAGTCAATTTCCTCTTGGACACTAATAGCAGTTTAGCTACAATACCAAAGAACAATGGGAAAACAGCACTTCATTCTTCAGCAAGAAATGGACATGTTGCAGTTGTGAAAGCACTTTTAAGCAAAGAAGAAGGGATCTTAAATTGGAGAGATAAAAAGGGCCAAACTGCTCTTCATATGGCAGTTAAAGGACAAAGTGTTGATGTTGTTAATGAGCTTATTCAATCAGATCCTTCTTTGGCTACAATTATTGATGGAAAGGGTAATACTGCTTTGCATATTGCAACACGAAAAGGCCGCGTAGAGGTAATTTTTCATATGTATGTTATACCTGTATTTCATTTTATTTGGCAGTGTTGGACTGAACACGGATTTTAAAACAAAAGGCAGCTGGTGCACTAAGCTCCCGCTATGCGCGGGGTTCGGGGAAGGGTCGGACCACAGGGGTCTATTGTACGCAGCCTTACCCTGTATTTCTGTAAGAGGTTATTTTCACGGCTCGAACTTGTGACCTCCTAGTCACAGCAACTTTACCAGTTAAGTCAAGGCTCCCCTTCAGACTGAACACAGATTTAAGAAAGAAAAAGAGCTCTTGACACAAAATCTGGACACTTTGTTCTGTTACTGAAAGTGTGACAATCCTATCCGATTGCAGATTATAGTTGAAATATTTACCACATGTATGTTATGTAGTTCCATATGTTATATAATTGCGCCAGAGTCAAATATTTTACATGTTCTTTTATGTTCATATGAATACACAGAAAAATCTTCTTTTCAAAAGCTCAACATAAATGTTATAAGCTGCACGGCCGTCTTAGTCCGTGTTATAATATTTGGACTCTTACCATATATTGGTAAGGGAAAGTGTTTCAAATTGTCGATTAACTATCATATCTCATGCAGATTGTTCAAGCGTTAGTAAAGGACAAACGGATGAAGTGGGACGCCATCAATAAATCTGGTGAGACTGCTCTTGACATTGCTGAGAAAGTAAGGCAGTCAGAGATAGAAACAATTCTAAAGGAACATGGTATCCTGAGTGCAAAGAACATGAAGCTAGTATTACCAACGCGTTCAGCCAAAGAACTGAAACAAACCATTAGTGACATAAAACATGATGTTCACAATCAGCTTGAGCACACTTTTCAAACACAAAAGAGAGTGAAAAACATAGCGAAACGTCTGAACAAAATGCACTCGGAAGGGCTCAACAATGCAATAAATTCCACCACAGTCGTTGCAGTTCTTATTGCCACTGTTGCTTTTGCTGCTATATTTAATCTACCAGGCCAATATGTTGATAACCGTAAGCATATTCCTCCTGGATACTCATTAGGAGAAGGAAATATTGCTCCTCAACTCCCTTTTGCAATTTTCTTCATATTTGACTCTCTTGCACTCTTCATATCATTAGCTGTTGTGGTGGTTCAAACATCAATCGTGGTTGTTGAAAGAAGAGCCAAGAAGCAAATGATGTCGATTATCAACAAGCTAATGTGGTTGGCTTGTGCATTTGTGTCTGTAGCCTTTCTTGCACTGTCTTATATTGTTGTAGGTAAAGAAGAGAGATGGATGGCAACTGCAGTAACTTTTATGGGAACTTTTATCATGGTTACAACACTAGGGACACTGTGTTATTGGGTAGTTATGCACCGGATTGAGTCTTCAAATTTGAGAAGTTTGCGCAAGTCAGCTCGGAGTAGCAAGTCCTTGTCACGGTCCATATCGATCATGTCAGAATCAGAGATCCCGGATGATGAGTATAAGAAACTATATGCTATTTAGTTCTTCTACACCTTGTATTTAGCTATTAGCCTGTATATTCTTGTGTAATAATATTTGATGCTTACACTTCAAGCATCAATATAGTAAAAAAGGGCAGCCAGGTCAGGAAGCATCCTGCGTTCATGTAGGGTTCGGGGCAGGGCCGCATCCCAAGAAGGTGTGATTTAGGCAGACTACCCTGACGCAAGCATCAGTAGTTGCTTCTAGGGCTCGAATTCATGACATATAGGTCATAAGAAGACAATTTTACCGTCCTCCAAGACTCCTCTTCAAGCTTCAATGTAGTACCTTCAAGCTTCAATGTAGTAGCCGCTAGTTTTTCTGTAGTATATGAGCAACATAATTGAAAGTGCAGGATCTTATGCCATTCTTAGAATTATGAACATTTTACTACTGGTAGCTGCTAGCTTTGCCCAAGTGAAAAACAACTAGTATATGAGCAAGATAAGTGAAGTGTAGAATTTTATGCCCTTGTTGCAAGATGCCTCATGAGCTGTTATTTGATTATGCTGATGTAGCAGCTGAGTTGGCGATGACGTAGCTGCTGATATGTTTTTTTAAATTGCAGAAGATACTTAGATATTTTCTGTTCCCGGGCTTAAGATTTTTAGTTGTGAATTTCCTAGTCTTTAGGCATGTAGCTATTGGTTGATTATTAGGAAGTTTCTGTTTCAGTTTTTACTGCAATTCTGTTGGGGATCTCTTTGTATTTAAACAGCTCTTCATTCAGCTTAATAAAACATCTCTCATTTTCTTCTTTATGTCATTTGTGCTTTCTCTGATAAACACCAACAGCCCTTCTAGATAGAATTTTGAGCATCTTACTTCTGTGCACAGATCATTGGTTTCCAACTTTGTATCTCTGTTATATGCTTCAGTTCTTCTTGTTCATTCATTCACTTGACATATAGTAGGACATTTAAGAAAGCCAAACTGTATCTAAACTATCTACTAATAGTTATTGATTCACCAAGATTTAAAGTGGGACATATAGTTTGATCTCATGAATGCTACATAGTTAAAGGGGATTCTTGCTGTCAACATGAAACTTTAAATCCTCTTTCTAATTTAACAGTCATTGGTTTGTGTCACTTGACAATTGTAGACACAGTGTGTTAAAAGTGCAATCTTTTAGAATCTTTGGCATCAATAATCATTGCCATAATTTGGCATGAGAATTAGAGTTTTGACAGCAAATGACTCAACCTTTAGTGTTCATGGAAACATTATCTCTACTTCAGTGTGCAAATGTTTTCATCTTTTTAGGTGTAGGCCTAAAGCAATACATCCCTTGTACACCCATGTCCTTACCCGTCTGACTTGTATATTACAACTTTTATATTTAGGCATAGTTTGAATAGCAAAGGGTAATCCAGAAGAAGATCAGGACTTAGAGCAAATGGCCAGAGTTCTCCTAAGATCTATCTTTGGTTAAAGTGTGCAAAAGGACAGTCTGGTGCACAAAGTATCTCGTATTCATGCAGGGTCCAGGAAATGCCCGCTCCTAAAAAGTGTGATGTAGACAGCCTAACCTAATGCAAGCATTAGTAGTTGCTTCCGCGGCTTGAACCTGTGACTTACCTCAAGCGAAGAAGAGCATGAAAGATAGATAATAATTGAATTGTTCTAAACTCAAGTCATGTACTAGTTGAATTGTTGAACAACTGAACCCTTGGGAGCTACATATCTCGTGACATGCTTCGCGTGTCGTTTGCTGTATAAAGTCTGTATAACTTTAAAAGAATCATAATACATATGGTACAATCGCGGACCACCTATTAATGACATACTAAAACTGTTATAGCTTCATAGTATTGCTACCATTTGTTTGAAAAAAGGAAAACAAATGTTCTGCACTCCTACTATATTCTAATTTGATTCGAGTTGTTCAGGGAACATGAATTTCTTGATGCTAAGATTCAGACCTTCCTTAAATGCACTCAACCACATTTTCTTTATCTTTATTTTAGTGAAAAATTGATTTTTGGTGGGCAGAGGAAATTGAAATGATGATGAACTGAAAGAGCCAAAAGCTCCCAAACAAATTCCAAAAGCTATTGCCACATGGTTTGCAATCAATCACAACCAATCTCTATATATTGTCACATATACTAACTTTTTTGCCCTTGTCTCAAGTTTTGGTTTCCATTGCTTGAGCTAAGTAGCATGAGATAGAATATTGACATGATATAAAATTTGTGATTGGCATTTTTCCACATCAAACTTCTTATAGTTTCCAAGATTGGTAACTATTTGACTTGAGTACATAACCTAATTATATCATCCTTGAGTTGCAATAGTAACATGTTGTTTGGTTTGAAGACAAGTTATGTTGGGATTAGTTATACTGGTATTATACTTTATTGACTGTTTGGTATGTTGTATTAATTATGAGATTGTTAATTTTACTGCTTTATCCTGAGATTACTATTCAACCCTCTGGCAGGTATAAATTATCCTAGTACTACTTTTAGTCTTACAATAACTTATACCTGGATTAGTAATCAAACAAGGGATAAAGACAGAAATTTTTATCTCATAATTATTTTTGCTTATTCATCATGCCAAACGACTCCTAATAGATTAAATTGCATGATTCAATATATGGCTTTTAGATAATGTTAGTGCAGATATATTATCCTCAAAAAACATTTCTTGCTTTTTATCTCCCAAAATCTAGACATTACACCACATACTACACTATTGAACTGGTCCTATTAAAGCTGCTGATATCCCTTCTAAGTTTAGATACATGCACATATATTTTATCTTCTTTTTTTTCTACAAGAAATGTCACTGTCCAGGATCATAATTCAACTGTTCTTCCAGCACTAAAGGAGTTCAAAACTTTTGAAAGAGAATGAACATTAACAATAAACCACAGAACAAAGGGTCCAACTTATTCTCAATTAATGTTCACTATTTCTTCTTTGAGAATTAATGACCAACAGAATATGATTGTTTTGTTGGGATAAAACGGCCTAAAAATACTCTTAATATAGTGTAATATTGTCCGTTTTGGGTCACACATGCACGCTTTTACCCAAAAGGCCTCACACCATTAAGCGTATCAAACTCCCTATAAATAGATATTTTTCTTTTCTACTTTCCACGTGGGATTTTGTTCACACACCCAACAATTATTTTATACTTTACGGTATCAGATTTTAAGAACAATAGCCATGTAGTTAATACAAGCCTACCAAGTAGTAAATTAATGCGATGATGCTGTTTTCCAATCTATTAAAAGTCCAAGAATGGATAAAAATTGGAATGACTCTTTGTTAAAAGGAAGTTGTCTAAAAACCCAGAATCTCTTAAAATTCATGCAGATTATATATATACGGGTGATGCAAATTAATTGAGATTACTTTAGGTTCAATTTTCACTAAGAGTCTTTTAGTTTTATCATATACTTAATTATATACCACTAGAAAACATAAAAAACTTCCAGAGTTAGAGAAACTTAAATTTTACAATATTAGATGAAGCAAGTTTAAATGAAACCACATGAAAAATGATGATTCAAATAACCAGTCCTAATTTGCTTGGAATTGAGAACCTAACCAGTTATATAACTATATTTTCTAATACAAAAATCACAAGACTTTTCACATACTCACACAAAAGTTACAATTGCTGGAAAACTCAACTTACCGATGCAATACGTTTTTACTCCATATTTTCTATTTTTAAGTTTTAGCTTAATAAACCCCGGCCCGATCTGCAGGTCCACTAACGTAAAGCGATAGGTTGAGCCTGAACTGACGAACCGAAGTTACTTTCGAAATCATACTTCCTACAGCTAACATGTGTCCAATCCAGCGGGAACGCGTTATATGTTCCGTCTTGTAATTTCTTGTTTGTAAGCTCCGATCCCAAAGGAGTTTATTCGACCCATTCCCCAGACTCCCGCGCTGCTCAAGTAAGTGTGCGATTAATCTGACCGGACCCGACCCAAAACCCATATGCATAATTAAAATATACTAAAATAACACAAGTGAGCCCTTATCCCCAAAATATTTGATATCTATCCCCTTATCCATATTTTTTAGAGAAATTTTCATAAAGCACTATCTTTTAATAGTAATTAGTCATCTATAGATACCATTTACTATATTACGGTTTATAGATACCTTTTATGTGGTTATAAGATGTATTCGATGTATTTAAGCTAATGTATTCATGAATACAGTAGCAAAAATAGGCGTGAATCAAGGAAGTCCAGCTAATCAGTTGTTGTACTCGAGTGTATTCGACTGTATTCATGGAGTGAAACATGAGATTACAGCTGGACAGATTATTGTATTCGATCGTATTCGACTGTATTCACGGCATGAAATAGGGGATTACACTGTTTTGAAAACGGAAAGTGAATCAATTAACATAATAGACTCCTAATATAACTCAACAAACTCAATTACAACACACAAATTTTGTATTTTCAGTTATAAAAACGATTCCCAACCAAAAAATACCCCCAAAACATAGCAATCTTTAGAGAAATTATATAATACATCTGAATACATAAATTATATTAATTAAAAAATATATATGAATACATTCATGGCATATAGCGAGACAGTGAATACAATGAAATACATAGAATACATCGGGATACATTGAAATACAATGAAAAAAAGACAGTGGATACAATGAAATACGTGGAATACAACGAGATACATTGAATTACAGTGAAAAAAAAGACAATGAATACAATGAAATACAACGTTATACATTGAAATATATTAACAAAAAATTCAAGTTGCTCAGCTCACACTCCGTCGTCTTTGTTAAAAAACAAACCCTAATTTCTGACGAATCTGCCGCCGTTCAAAAATAGAGATAATATTCTAAGATTCAGGTCCTTCTCTTTACTAATATTAAGATAAAAGAAAGAAAAAAAGAAAGTAGCTAGGGACCAACAGAGATGGACAAAAGCTGGGAACGAAGACAAATATTTCAGTTCAAAATGTTGATTTGACTTGCGTGATAATAAACAAATGCAAACTGGTATATGGAAGACAAACAATGCTTTTCGGCCCGATTCATGCGTCTCCGCCGGCGGGAGCAATTTTCTCTTTGGTTCCGAGAAGAAAAGAAAATAGTGTGAGTGAGAGGAATTTTGAGATTGAGCAATGTGTTTTCAAGGAATGAGGGAAGAGAATGAGATGTATCAAAGTAGAGAGAGAAAGAAAATAGTGTAACTGAATAGCGTATTTAGTGGTTTAGGGCTAGGATGTAACCAAAATTAGATATTTTGCTATAAACCTTAAAAGGTATCTATAGAATATAATTTATTTAAATGGTATTTATTTANTTTGAAAGGAAAATAAAAAGTATGGATAAGGAGATAGATATGTATATTATGGGGAAAGGATTCGCTTATATTTATTTAATATATTTCAATTTATGCAAATGAAATTTGGGTGGGTTGGGTCGGTCCTCTTTTAACTGGAAAAATATTTATTAGCTTGAAATAAAAGATATGGATTAAAATAATATTTCATCGGTAAGTTAAATTTTCCAGCAATTGTGACTTTTGCGTGCGTAAGTTAAAGTTTTGTGATTTTTGTATTAGAAAACATAGTTATATGACTTCAACGAAAAAAAATCATAGTTATATGATCATTTATGAAATTTATCCTCATTTGATCAGGGGCGAACTCAGGATTCTTAGAGGATGTGTTCACCACTAATTTGATAGTATAAAAAGATAGAATAGATGAGCTCAACAAGGATCAATCCCTGATCCCTAGGG